TTGCAATATGCGTTTTTGCTGCCTGCTGCAGCGCTCTAGCGCTGCACGGCAAAAACGCATAAAAATGGAGCATGACCACAGCAGATGGACAATTAGCCATTCGCATAGTTAAAGAACCAGACTATGAAATGTGGCTCAAAAAAGCACCAAGGCGAAAATTTTTTGCACAGTTAAACAACAAAATGAACAATAATTCATTTGGATATTCAACGAGGTGTACCTGTACGTTCCATAAAGATTAACACATTCGTGCTCGCATCCAGCACCCCGCATTTCTGTGCATTCGTCGATGTCTGCAAAAACAGCTGTTCTGCTAGCTCACTTAAAAAGACTTATAATCCAGCTTATTCACAAGTAATCTTCGAATAAATCATATGCCGCACCCTTTAATATTGCTCTGACCACATAAAGCAGCTTCTTTTACTTTTTTAGTAAGGTATGAAAAGAGGGGATTATCCAAGTACGAAACGCTCCACTCCAGATCCTTGGCCAGCTATGATGATTCATCGGGTAGATCCTTCCCTTTTTTCAAACCAACCAACCTATCCTCATACTGTAAACTTTTTCCTCTCTAATTCCACGAAGAGCTTTTTTCATCTGGACATCGGGTACTAACAAATAGCATCCGCGAGAGTTGGTAACGAAGAGGCTGTGCATACAAATAATCAACAGGCGATGAGTAACAAATGAAAGTGTGTAGCCCAGGATCAAGCGCAGCTATGTCCGATTTTGGAAAGCATGCCAGCAACATCATTATGGAATACCCCCAATGACCGTCCGGGCATTTTCGGCGTTCTTGTGTATTGGACGTGAACTTCATTCTTTTCTACATGCGCATGCTCTGGCTAACGAATGACAACGAGAGTTAAGCTCTCGAGTTTGCGGTGGCACGATATATAATGCGGGGAATGCGTAGACCTTTACCTTTGCCTCTAGCTGTGAATACCACTGGTTTAAATGAACAAGCTGAACCAAAAGTCAAAATTCCAGAATTTTTCAGACAGTCTGAGAGACATTGGACTAAGATCATTTGAACAGATGAGAAATTTAGAAAGATGGGTCATCCACTTTCGCTAACTTTATCAAGTGGTGCAAGGAAGAAGAAAAAAGATTAGTTATCCGTTCATGGAACGACACTTTTGATTTGATTTTCTAATTTAAACGAACCGATGCATGATTTTTGATCGTGGCCGACACTGAGGCCAGGATAACATTGACAAACTGCTCGACCGTTATCATTGACGCAGTGCTGTTCGCATCCACCTCGATTTATCGCACAAGGATCAATCGCTAAAAGTTTTGTCTGTTTGTTACTTGTAAGCCAAGATACATTTTTACTCGATGCTGAGAATTTCTCTTTGTTTCACCACTCACTCTGCTTATGAATCACACAGATGAGATTTGAGTTGAGACAGAACTCATTAAAATTGCATATCTATCCCTGGTGGGGCTTGATCCTGTGAGTGTGTGAGAAATGAGAACAACGGGGGAAGAATTAATAACTGCATGTGCCTTTGGGAATAATTGATCTTGGTCAGCTAATTGCTTCCAAATTATTCAATTGCGTCTTTTGTCTCCTACTTTATTTCCTCACACCTTTTCCAGTCACTCCACTTCCCCCTCTTCCTCCCCTCCCGTAAAATATTCGATTCCTAACTTCAGAATTAACAAACCAGCAAGTATCTGTACTATACCTAATTGTTTTCACAAGTCAACAGCTAATTCGCTGTCTGATGCAACTATACAATTAGCAAACATTCCACTTGCTTTGACCATTGCTTCTTTTTGGTGGTCAGCTTGCCGCCGGTTTTCACGGCTCTCTCGTCTACTGATTGCCTCGGAAGCTAAGAGATTTCGCATTATGCTGCAAAATTCAGACGGACAAAAGCAGTGTCTTTAAAAACCAGGATGGATATATATTTGCGCTAGCTACGCCCGCGTCACTTTACACTCTTACCAATCGCACTGTGTCGATAGCCAGCGGCAATCCGAATCTTACGTGTGCTACGAAAACGAAAAAAGCTGTCTAGGCAGCACGAAGTGGTACCACCGTTTACGAAACTGGGAGCTAGAAATTGATAGCAAAACTGATCGAGGGCCGACGTGAACTCGAAACCCAAATTGCTGACTGCGCTTACGATGGCATCGGCGTTTGTCGGCAGCCAACCGGAAACCCTGTCGACATCTGCATCGATGAAATCGATCGTTTCGTTCTTCGCAAATCTGCTCGCAGCCACCGTTCTCCATATTGCATTTGTTGCGGTCTGCAGCAGATCGCAACAAAGTTTGCTTGGAACTATCAAGACCAAACTAGTTTGCTTTTTCATGCGTTTTGTGCTGTGTAACAGCGTTACAAAACGCATATTGTCACGGGATTGTCTATGTGTGTTT